TCAATAAAATATATAAATAAATAATAATAAATAAATGAAAAGAAATTTCCATGCCCATGTAATAGAAAACTCAATGTTGTAAGGTGACAATTTTCCCCCGAACTGCATTCCCCATCAAAATTCCAAGACTTTTTTTTTCAGACATTGACAAGCCAATCCTTTTTATACTGGACCCAGAACAGCTACACGTTTTAAAAACAAGAACAAAATTGGAGGGCCAACATTACCTGGTCTCATCAATTACCATAAAGCACATTAACCAAGACAGAACAGTACTGGCCTAAGAACAAACATATAGATAATGGAAAATAATTGAGAGTGCAGAAATAAACCTTTACATTTACAATCAATGGAGAAATGACAGTCTTTTCAACAAATGGTGCTGAGACAACCCATACGCAACTGAATTTAGACCCATTTATTTCACATCATACATAAAAATGAACTCAAGCCTGGCTGGTGTGGCTCAGCGGTCGAGTGTAGACCCAGGAACCAAGAGGTCACCAGTTTCATTCCCAGTCAGGGCACATGCCCGGGTTGCGGGCTCAATCCCCAGTGGGGGCCATGCAGGAGGCAGCCAATCAATGACTTCCTCTCTCATCAGTGTTTCTATCTCTCTATTCCTCTCCCTTCCGCTCTCTCTAAAAATCAATAAAAATATATTTTTTAAAAATGAACTCAAAATAGATCATAAATCTAAATATCAGAGCAAATACTATAAGACATCAAGAAGAAAACAAAAGAGAAAATCCTCAAGACTTGAATTAGGCAGAGAGTTCTTATAACAACAAAAAATTAATCTATAAAATAGAAAATCGGAAAATTAAACTCCATCAAAATTTAAACTTTTGACAAAAGGAATTAAAACTTTTGTGCTTCAAAAGATTCCAATAAAAAAAGTTGAAAAGACAAGCCACTCACTGAGATAAAATATTTGCAAATCATGTATCCAATAAAGGACTTGCAACCAGAATATACCAAGATTGTTATAACTCAATAATAAAAAGACAAACAAAAACCACACAAAAGTTTTGAGTATCTATTTCACCAAACAGGATATATAGAAATGGCTAATAATCATATGAAAAAAAATGCTCAATACCTTGAGTCTTTAGGAAAATGCAAGTTAAAACCACCACAATGAGTTAACCACTTCATACCCACTAGAATGGCTATAATAAAAATGGCAATAACAAATGTTGCCAAGAATGTGAAGAAGCTGGAACTCTCAAACACTGCTGTTAGGAATGTAAAATGTATGGCCACTTTAGAAAACAGGTTGGCATTTTTTAAAGAAGTTAAACAGATGACCCAGCATTTCTATTCCTAGGTATCTACCCAAGAGAATGAAACCATATGTCCACATAAAGACTTGTACTCAAATGTTCAAGCAGCATTATTTGCAACAGTCAAAAAACTGGAAACTGCCTAGCTGCGTGGCTCAGTGGTTGCGCACTGAGCATATGAACCAGGAGGTCACAGTTACAATTCCTGGTCAGGGCACATGTCCAGGTTCCGGGCTCCATCCCCAGTAGGGGGCATGCAGGACGCAGCCAATCCATGTATCTCTCCATGTGTCTCTCCCACTGATGTTTCTATCCCCTTCTCCCTCTCCCTTCCTCTCTGAAATCAATAAAAATATATTTTAAAAAAACAAAACAAAACATAAAACTAGAAACAGCCCTGGCTGGTGTGGCTCAGTTAGTTGGGCCTTGTCCCATGTACTGAGGCAGCGGTCGCCAACCTTTCGGACCTCACGGACCACCAGTTGGCTGCACTAAGGGATTGCTGGTTCAATTCCCTGCAGAGGCACATGCCCAGGCTTCTGGCTCAATTTCCTGTAGGGAGCGTGCTGTTTCTCTCTCTCACTCTCACTCTCTCTAAAAATCAATTTAAAAATCTATAAAAAAGGTCCTAGCTGGTTTGGCTCAGTGGATAGAGTATCAGCCTGTGGACTGAAAGGTCCCGGGTTCGATTCCGGTTTGATTCAAGGGCACATGCCCGGGTTGTGGGCTCGATCCCCAGTAGGGGGGCATGCAGGAGGCAGCTGATCAATGATTCTCATCATTGATGTTTCTATCTCTCTCTCTCCCTTCCTCTCTGAAATCAATAAAAACATTTTTTTTTATCTTTAAAAAGAAAATAAAAAGACCTGGAAACAATTCAAATGCCCATCAACTGGTCAACAGATAAACAAAATGTTGTATATTCATACAATAGAATATTCAGCAATAAAAAAGAAAAAAATACAGATAACATGCTACAATAAAGATAAATTCCAAAAACAGTATAAGTGAAAGAAGCCATATGTAAAAGACTATATATGTTATGATTCCATTTATATAAAACTAGTGGTCCGGTGCACGGGTTTGTGCACACTGAAAGGAAAATAATTAGAAGAAATATTTTAGCCGAACCGGTTTGGCTCAGTGGATAGAGCGTCGGCCTGCGGACTCAAGGGTCCCAGGTTCGATTCCGGTCAAGGGCATGTACCTTGGTTGCCGGCACATCCCCAGTAGGGGGCGTGCAGGAGGCAGCTGATCGATCTCTCTCATCGATGTTTCTAACTCTCTGTCCCTCTTCCTTCTTCTCTGTAAAAAATCAATAAAATATATTAAAAAAAAAAAAGAAATATTTTAATATTGCTATTTGCCCTTTCTCCCTTAGTGCCTGGGAGCCAGGCAGCGGCCCCACCCTCTGCTGCCACTGCCACTGGGCAATCGGTGGGGCGATGATCGGCCCCACTCACACCTGCCTTAGCCTGGCGCTGCCCGCTCACCTGCTCCACCATACCACCAGTCCACTCTAGTTGGGGCCCATGGGAGCCAGCAGCACCTCCACTGCTGCCCACTGCCAGCACCACGTTGCCAACACCCACCATGTTCCACACCGCCCCCTGATGGTCAGTGCACATTATAGTGAGCGGTCAAACTCCCAGTCAAGGGGACAATTTACATATTAGGCTTTTATTATATAGGATATTCAGAAAAGGCAAATCTACAGAGACAAAGCACAAATCAGTGGCTCCCTGGGGCTGGGGGTGAAAATAAGGGTTAACTACAGTCTAGAGGGAAATTTTGGAGGTGATAGAAATGTTCTGAAACTGGCTTGTGGTGCCCAGTCGGTATGGCTCAGTGGTTGAGCATCGATTTATTAAGCAGGAGGTCATGGTTAAATTCCTAGTCATGGCACATGCCTGGATTTTGGGCTCAATCCCTGGTGCAGGAGGCAGCCGATCAATGATTCTCTCTCATCATTGATGTTTCTATCTCTCTCTCCCTCTCCCTTCCTCTCTGAAATCAATAAAAATATATTTAAAATAAATAAATAAAACTGGCTTGTGGTTTGACACTTCTATTTACTAAAAATCACTGAATTGTGCACTCAAAATAAATTAATTTTGGAATTAAATAACTCAAAAAAGCTGATTTTTTTAAGTGCACATATCCAACAGAAATGAAAAAACGTTCAAACAAAAATTTGTGCACAAATGTCCATAGCAGCATTATTCACAATAGCTAAAAAGTGGAAACTGAAAAGTTAACCAACTAATTAATAAATAACATGTGGTATATCCATACAATGGAATATTACTCGGCAATAAAAGAAATGAAATGACACATGCTATGGATGCACTTTGAAAACATTGTGTTAAGTGAAAGAAACCAATCACTGAAGATCACATATTGCATGATTCATTTATATAAAATGCCCAGGAACAGGCAAGTACACAGAAAGTAGATCAGTGGTGCCTAGGCCTGGGGATGTTGGGGGAAACTTGAATGTGACTATTAAATGGATATGTGGTTCCTTTCTGGGATGATGAAAAGATTCTAAAATTGATTATGGTGACAGTTGGCATAACTTTATAAATATATTAGAAAACACTTAACTGCCCTGGCCAGGTGGCTGTTGGTTGGAGCATTGTACCATACACCAAAAGGTTGTGGGTTCAAGTCCCTGTCAGGGCACATACCTAGGTTTCCAGTTTCATCCCTGGTCTGGGCATGAAGGAGAAGCAACTAATTGATATTTCTCCTCTCTATATCTCTATCTCTCTTTCATTCCCCTCTCTCTAAATCAATCATATCCTCAGATAAGGATTTAAAAGAAAAAAACCCACTAAACTGTACATTTTAAATTGGTGAACTAAATGGTATATGAATTATCTATAATAATAAAAGCGTAATATGCTAATTAGACCGGGCAGCCGAACAACCTTCCGGATGTCCTGCTGGACAAAGTCGAAGCGGCAGGGCCGAGGCAGAGGCCCTTAGGGGCAATCAGGCAGGCAGGCAGAGGCGGTTACCGGTGATCAGGCAGGCGAATTAGGAGCGGAGGGGGATTGTGATAGGATGCAGGTCCGGCTGAAGGACGTCGGGGGAAGGAAGGCCTACTCTTGCACGAATTTCGTGCATCGGGCCTCTAGTATCTCAATAAAGCTGTTACCAAAAAAAAAAACACACACACACACACTTGTGCAATCTGTGAGCGGGTAAAGGCCATCAACACAGTTACCAATCTATTAACTTAGGATAGAAAAATCTCAAAGTTACAAATTCTTTCCAATGAAACTCTGACTTTTTTTAGTATACTATTATATGTCTGAAATGAGAAGCAATGATTGATCCATTAGTTAAGTCACTAAGTTTAAAAACAGGTTGACATTAAATATTCAAATTTCAGGTGCCCAAGATATTTCAACTTTCTACTTCATGTGTTTGCTGGGTGATACCTCAGTAACATTCATATGAATGCACTGTGTAAACTGTGTTGCACTGTCTATAAACTTTAATTATTCCTAAATTCCTTTAAGCGTAACTTAACAGCTTCCAGTTTTATATAGTCTTGAAAGGAAGAAACTCTGAAACAAAAACATCCAATCTTATCTCAATAAAGGGTACATACATTCTCCGGTGATTCTGGCACCAGAGAAAGTGCTTAATTTACCTCTCCATAGAGGCTCACTTATAGATAAAAAGGAAAGTAAATCTGATTACCAAACACTCGAGCACTGTTCTCTCATCACCGGATTAAAATTTAAACCACACAGCTGAAGTACATGTTCATGAGCACAAGAGAGGAGGAAAATTCTAGTTTTACAATGAAGTGTCCCCTCATTCACTTTAATGAAGTACTAAAAACTTGAAGGCTAGTCTGCAGCGAATCTAGGGAAAAAAAAAAAAAAAGAGCCCGGGATACTGGCCCACGAGAAACAAGCCGAAACTGAGCAATCTGGATTCCTCTTGGTGTGTTAGAATATTTTCTCCGTCCTTTGCTGACATGCAATAAAATTGCCCAACTGGAGCAAGAGAGGGGTTCGGGGGCCCCCGCTCGAAAAGCTGCTGGGGCAGCCCCCGCAGAACCCTCCCCGCGCTTCTTCTCCCGCGGCCGCCCCCCGCCCAAAACAGCCCGGAGCCCGGTCCCCAAGGGCCAGCTTCGCGGAGAGAGGATCCAGAAGGCGGTCACTGGGCGCGCGTAGTACAGAGCCCGTTCCTGTTTTGTTTAAAAACAGATTCCAAACAGAGACAAGCCTCCCTCGCCCCGGGGAGTAGGGGAAGTGGCAGCAGGGGGCCGGCGAGGAGCGCGAGGATAAAAGAATGGCCGAGGACAACCTGCCGCGCGCGCCAGCCGCCAGGGAAGGATAGGTGAGAGGC